CACGTCCAACCGTTCCTGTCTACCCCCTAAACCATATCCCTAAGTACCTCGTCTACCCGCTCTTTAAACACATCCAGGGATGGGGACTCCACCACCTCCCTGGGCAGCCTGTGCCAGCTTCTGACGACCCTCTCAGGAAAGAACTTCCTCCTTATCTCTAACCTGAACCTCCCTTGGCACAGCTTGGTGCCGTTTCCCCTTGTTCTATCCCCCATCACCTGGGAGAAGACACCAGCACCCACCTCTCCACAACCTCCCTTGAGGCAGTTGTAGGTGGTGATGAGGTCTCCCCTCAGCCTTCTCTTCTCCAGGCTAAACAAGCCCAGTTCCCTCAGCCGCTCCTCATCAGGCTTGAGGAAAGGAGGCTCATGAGGTTGAGGCTCACCTCAACCACGGGCAGCCTGGACACCACCTCCACCGGGGAATTAAACACCGATCACAACAACCCTTGGACCAGACCTTGAGGTGCACGCGCATTTCAGCCTCCGTAAGCTCTTATCGAGCGCTTTATCAGCAGACCTCAAAGCTGTCCCCAAAGGAGAAAGGTGAAACCAAGACGCACAGGAGGGAAACAACCCGTTCTTCCTCCAGCGACGAGCAGTGGCAGGGTGGGATCTGATCCCAGCACAGATTTATGTCCCTGCTTGACCATCAGGCTTTCATGCTCCCACCTGCAGTCACCTCCTTCTCTTGCTCTGACAGCAGGAGGTTTTTGGGGCAGCTCCTTTGGCTGTGCCAGCGTCCGAGCAGCGCACGCGGAGCCAGCCCAGAGCCGGAGCCGCCCGGGGAGGTTTCCAAAGGACAGGGCCGGCAGCGCGGCCGCACGTGGGGTTCCAAGCAGGCGGCCCGGGACATCCACACAACCCCGATGGAGCAAGAGGTTTCTCAAAGCCTCCCTTGCCCCAGATCACAACAACATCTGCTTTGCCCCACTCCCAGGGGTACCGGAGGGGAAAGGGAACTGGTGCAGACGCAGCTGATGGATGGGAACCGAAGCAGACGGGGGCTGGCCAGCCTTTTCCTCGGGTGACCCTGCTCTGAGCTGAACCCTGCCCACTCCTTCCCCGGCAGCGAGCGCCCAGGGGATTACACCACACAGCTGGAAACGGCTCTGGTATCTGTC